ATATATTTATATATCTATCGATAATTATAAAATATAAAATAAGTGCCTTGCCAATTTTTCAACGTTTAGATTCGAACATCGACGATTATTGATTGATAGGTACACGAACTAGGTGTAGGGAATCTTTTAGTCAAGTTCTCTCGACTAGAGAACTCTTGTTTAATATTGTTGCGTTTAATGTTATGTTCTTTGCCTATCGCAAACCTCAAGAACAAGACACGATTGTTTTTTTGCAAGGGCAACTGTAAACAACTGGAAGACAGATTGTGTACAATGTTGGTTTATGGGCGCCCGGTGCGAATGGATGAATGTGCATTATTACGAGGCAACATAATTGGTGTTGTTGTTGTTGTAAAGCTAATTACCATAGCCTTGAGACAAAATGCAAAAAAGTAAACCACACCAACAACAAGCCGTAAAATAGGAAATGGGAGCGACAGTTAGCTAAAATAAGCAACGCAAATAATTAATGATGCTTGCAAAATTTGGATATGTGGCGCCTTTGTTTAGGCAGCGGAAGTCATGCCCCCTTACTCCCCGGCGGCTTATTGTGCTAGGTGCTATGTTTTGTGCTTGGGGGTGGCCAGGACAGCTTTTTTTCCAACCACCCCCATTTGATGTTTGACAATTTATTTTGATGGCGTACAACACGCACACGTCAATTCTTGTTGTTGTTGTTGTCGTCGTGGAACTATGGCCTAATGCTAGGCGCTTGGAGGTGGCCCAGTCAGAAAGGCGACGTCAACATCAATGGAAGAGCAAAGCAAACGGCATTGATTAATTTCCATTTGGGGCACAGTAACCGACAGCAAGGTCGACCTATGCCAGCAAAATTGTTGTTAGGATAATGTGGCATTAAAACATTAAGGGCCGACACACGGCTGCTGCTGCCATTGAGAAACATCGCCTGATTCGAGCAGCTGGCCACAGGAGCAGCAAATACCACCACTCCTCACCCCATGAGTGGGCGGCGCTATTTGATTGAGGCTGAAGCGTTGAGGTAACGAGCCATAGCAGAAGTGTGTGTACAGGACTGTCAGTCTATCAGTCTATCAGTCGATGAGTCTGTCTGAGGCTGTCCACTGTTTGAAGAGTGTGCCTGCTTACGTATTTCTTTTATTTCTTTTTGCACATTAAGAGAAAGTGGGGCACTTTCACCCAGTCAAGCACGCTCAGAAAAATAATCGTTCTGAATTTAAGCAATTCGCCATACCTTTGGGGTCAAGGGTAACTCACTTTATTATTCAGAAATTGTATTTTTAAATTTTGAAATACAAATTTCCATGTGTTAGAAAAAATATGTTTCATTTTCAGTATTTTTTTTAACTGAACAAAAACAAACAGCTCTAAACATTAGCTTATTTGTTGCTTATATTATTAAATAACATTTATATTCTAAGATTTCACATATACAAACATTTTAGATAGTTTATAAAACATACGATTCGAACTCGCGAAAATACAACTAAGGGAATCCATTTCGGTTTTCAATCTATATATAGGATTTAATGTCCCAAGTCCCGTTGTAGTTGTGTAAGGTGAAAGTCGGTCTGACAGAGTCTTTTACTTATCCAAGGGCATATGTCCGGGTCAACAATCATGTCAAGCTACCGTTGGGAGTAGCCCTTCATCTTGTCTGCCCAACCTAAAATGCTTACAACGATGTTGTTGTTTTAACTGATTTGCGTAAAAAAAACGCAGAAATTTTTTAAATGAGAGTGGAGAGTTTGCTTATAAGGGCTTTGTTTGATATAAACGAGTTTTAGTTGACTTGATTTTCTTTTGAGGAACATTGCGTGCTCGTCTACGATCAATATTACATTCAGGTAAGGCTGTAGATATATGTACAAGTCGACTGGTATTTTAGTGAATCCAAGTGTGTGTGTTATTATAGATCCCTATGAATATTTGAGTTCCCAATTAAAGGAGGGTCTCCTTCTAAAAGTCTGTCATTATTTTTTTTTAGTTGAACTCGGACTATGTGTGATGATGCGGACGCTGACTAGTGGCAATGTCATTTGTTTAAATGGGTACTACTGTGAATTTAAAAATAAACGTAGTTTAAAGTACTAAGTTCTATGTTTTCATTTGAACAAGCTCGGGTTTGTTAGCGCGCGGAGCTAGTGGTAAAGATAATTATAACCGGAGCATAAGATTCGATATGAATAATGGATACTGTTACAAGTTTGAAGATAGAGAGGTAGATAATTCATTCATTCACCACTTGTTAGTCTGTATAACAAGACTATGTTTAAGAGAGGGAGAACATACATTTATTAGTACAAATTTACTACGGTAATTTGGTAAAAAGTTTATTATATCGAAAAATTATAACAAAAACTATAGTAAATCCAGCAAGTGTATAACTCTTAACATTTACAGTCTAGTGATATATATACTGAGTTACTTCAAGAGCAGTTTATTTATAATTTACTTATCAAATCTTTATTAATTTCCCAAATAAAATTTTAACCCCTTTTGCATAATTTTATAAGCCCCAAATACATAATGAGTAAATTATGAATATTATGAAAATCGAAATCAAAAACACTATAGCATGTTTATCTGCTCACATTTTTCATATGTCGCACTGTCGTTATCGTGTGAGTGCAAAATTCGCGCTTGGTTTTATTAAAAAAGTTCATTAGCTTATTTATTTATTTTTTCGAAATGAATAAGAAAAGAATTCAAATATAAGACACTTTATAATCACTTTTTTGTGACCAATAAATAAGAGACCAATTTGAAAATGGAAAAAAAAGATTTTATGTTTAATGTGCTTTCATCATTAAATTATAATGGATTATAATAATTAAATTAAATGTTAATTGTGTAATCTGCAAATTTCTTACATCACAAATGTTGATTGTATGGAATGTGGTTCATTATGGGAATATTTTCAGAAAACAACTTTATATTCTGTAGAATGCAAGAAAAGTGAAATCAGCCTGGTTCGACTTTTTCAATTTTATTACAAAAAAAAAAAAAAACACAAAAATAACATTTTACATTTACAAAACAATGTATAGACCCTCGCCAGTAGTTTCCATGCTTAATTAAAAGGTATATATATTAGCCAGCACAATTATTGTCAAAAGTTTCATCGCTTTTGTTACAAAAATCAGTTTTGAAGTTACAGTCTAATTTCAGGGTGTCGGAAAATATTGAATATTATACTTTTTCAAAATAGTTAATAAAAATTATAATTTATTTGAGAAAATTGGAAATCTGGTCCGGTGTGCTGTTAAGAACAGACAATAGAAAACTCGTATCTCAGATCTGCATAAGTGATAATATCCATAATCCCTTTGACAGCGCCCATAAATATGCAAACACTTTTGCTCTAGTACAAATATATGTATATATATATGTTCATATGTGCTTCGATTCATATATATATCCATCATTTATCAATGCAAACAACTTTGGCGCCAGTCATGCTCGCAAATATTAAATAAATCAAGGAACACATTATATAGACTTCAAGAGCACTCAAGAAATTTGACATTTATGGAAACAAATGAGTTTTGTCAAATGACAGAAGTTAAATGCAAGCTATGGGTTGGGAGGGGGCAGGGATAGACACCCGTGTAAGAGCCCATAGAAAATGACACTTAATGCATGCTCAAAGATGTTTGCGTTTTAATTGTAGTTGCAAAATTACTTTGCGACCGTTCCGGGGTGTCTACTGTTTCGTAAAAATGCACATAAATTTTTGGACGAAATGCGCCAAGCACAGCATCACAAGCAGCACCACATCCACATCCACATCCACAGCCACCGCCATCAACCACCACCCACCCAAAGGAGGCAACACATTCACAACGCCAACGCACTCAGTCAGGCAGATGGATGCCAGTCGGTTCGGCGACTGGCCGTTCTGTCTGCCCGTCCCATCTGTCGGGGAAAGTACAAAGTCTCATTAAACTGGTCGAAAGATGTGCGCATATTCGATTTTGTATCTGTATCTGTATTTGTATCTAAATGTGCATCAGTATCTGTATCTTTATTTATACTTGGCCAGCTGGAAGCGTTTTACTGTGCGGCTCGTTTAAATATTTGGACAAAACTTTGGTCGTACGTTTATATTGCATGTTATTGCATGTACTCTTTGGGACACTGAATCAATCCTAAATAGCAATTGAAGAATTTGACTTGGTATTAGTGTGTCCAACCGGAATTGGAATAGAAATCGCATATTTTTCCGATTGAAATTTGAATTAAATATTTTTTAAAAACATCGCAGCGGAAAATCATAATGATTGGAACCTAGATGCGTGTCGATTTTATATGCATTTTAAGGAAAATAAATAATAAATAACTTTTTCCACAATTGTCTACGAATTTGAAAGATTTTTGTTTTTGTTTTTGGTAAAGAAACCCATTACTAAAAGTGTATTAAATTTTGAAAATTAAATATAAATTCGCCAAGAGTCAAATTAAATAAATAATAAATTATATTTTTATATTTCTCAACACTGAGAAAATAAAACAAATATCGCGAATGAAAAAAACAGGGATATTTACTTTGGAAAAGCTTGAACTGAAATCAAATATTTTGAACATGTTTGGTGTAACAACCATATTCAGTTATCAGGTATCAGAAAACGTTACAGTTGTTTGTTATTATTTGTATAAATTGAGAACATTTCTCTTATTTGGATTCTATACTTTGAGTATTAATTGTTTAGCCAACGTTGTCTGATTAAAAATACTATTTTTATATCTAGTCGGCTATTATCTTTTAGCAGCTCTTTTTATTTAGTTACTCATTCCACTGCTGGCATTTCTATAATTACATTGCTTATGCATATTTTGAATACCAAGAATTAAAATTAAATTTTGTTTGGATACTTTTCCGGGGGCATTTAAAACTTGTCAAATGATGTGGTGTGAAATTTGTGGGGTGGGCGATTTGGTGCGTTGGCCGACATTCGTCTACGTTTCTAAATTATTACTATACTTTTGGCCTAATTTTTCCTTTTCGTTTTTGCTTGCAGTGTTTGCAGTGCTGCAGCGCAAAGTCACATAACATTTTTAATATTCGCCGGCGTGAACAATAATGCAAAAATGACAGCAATACGGTTAAGCAATAAACAAATGAGTGGCAAACGGCTCTAAATGACTACAACAACAGCAACCGGAACAACAACAATAGCAAGATGTAAATCATAAAAATAATTCTAAGAAATACGGAAATCAATGCAAAACTATATTCATCCACAGAATAATAAGCCTACCAGGAAGCAAGCTGCCGTTGAGTGTGAAAGCTTTAACTAGAACTAAGTCGAAAAGAGCCAAATTACTAATTTTCAAGATTGCGTGTAAGGAGTTCACAGAGTGTGCTAGAAATATAAATACAAAAAGAGAGAGAGATAGAGAGAGAGAGAAGCCTCCATTGACCGTTGACTACCTCCAAGTCGCCCCCGTCCCATCGCGCATCCGTTTTGGGACACTGAAACATTCCACCACACAGTATGGCCTCGGTCGCCGCTTGGCTGCCCTTTGCACGGGCGGCGGCCATCGGTTGGGTGCCGATAGCTACGCATCCATTGCCACCTCCTCCGGTGCCCAAGGATCGTCGCAAAACGGACGATGAGAAGCTGCTGATAAACGTATCCGGCCGTCGCTTCGAGACCTGGCGGAACACTCTCGAGAAATATCCGGACACGCTGCTTGGCTCGAATGAGCGCGAGTTTTTCTACGACGAGGATTGCAAAGAATATTTCTTTGATCGGGATCCGGACATATTTCGGCACATACTCAACTATTATCGCACTGGTAAATTGCATTATCCGAAACATGAATGCCTCACCAGCTACGACGAGGAGTTGGCCTTCTTTGGCATCCTGCCGGATGTGATCGGCGATTGCTGCTATGAGGACTACCGCGATCGCAAGCGCGAGAATGCCGAACGCCTCATGGACGACAAGCTGTCGGAGAATGGCGATCAGAATCTGCAACAGCTAACCAACATACGTCAGAAGATGTGGCGTGCCTTCGAGAATCCGCACACATCCACCAGTGCCCTGGTCTTCTACTATGTCACCGGCTTCTTTATAGCCGTCTCCGTCATGGCCAACGTTGTGGAGACGGTGCCTTGCGGCCATCGGCCCGGACGAGCCGGCACTCTGCCCTGCGGCGAACGCTACAAAATCGTGTTCTTCTGCCTGGACACCGCCTGCGTGATGATCTTCACCGCCGAGTATCTGCTCCGTCTGTTCGCGGCGCCCGATCGCTGTAAGTTCGTGCGCAGCGTGATGAGCATCATCGATGTGGTTGCCATCATGCCCTACTACATTGGCCTGGGCATCACAGACAACGACGATGTCAGCGGCGCCTTTGTCACGTTGCGTGTCTTCCGCGTCTTTCGCATCTTCAAATTCTCCCGGCACTCGCAGGGTCTGCGCATTCTCGGCTATACGCTCAAGTCGTGCGCCAGTGAGTTAGGCTTTTTGGTCTTCTCGCTGGCCATGGCGATCATCATATTTGCCACGGTCATGTTCTATGCCGAGAAAAATGTCAATGGCACCAATTTCACATCGATACCGGCGGCCTTCTGGTACACCATTGTCACAATGACGACCTTGGGGTAAGTAACACTCTAGATAAGCTTTAAGATCACTACATTTATGATTTACTATGCAAAAGCTCCAGCAAATTTATTTTCCTGGCTTTATATTGGGGATGCGTTGAGTTTCAAATTATTATCTTAAATAATAAATATTCACTTCAGCTTATCCAATTATATGAATTATACAATTTGTGCCAGTTTTTTCTTAAATTTCCTTTTATATACAATTCGATATACTAAAATAAATTATTTTGTCATCTCTCTGATAGTTTGTTCATAGATTTATAATTAATTGAAGAGAATGTTTGAGTTCATTTCCAAATTCTGTTAGTTTCTAGGTTATCCCCTAATATCTGCTAATATTTTATCACTAAAGAAATTCGCTAAGTATGACGTGTCCACATAGATATTGCAAAGTAATTTTGTAACTCATAATTGGAATTTATCTCTAAAATATTCTTAATAATCGTAACTTTTACTTTACAAATGGCATATTTTACTTTCGGTGTATCTATTCGAATACTCTTCATAAATGAACTCCATTTTGCCACGTTGTCGATTTATTTTTTCTATTGTACTCTGATTCTTTTGCAACATTTTTTAAATCATTTTTGATTTTGAACTTATCATTAGTTTCCATACATCCACAGTTATTTATTAATTTCACATACACAAAGGCTTTAAGTAATTTATAAAATTAATTTACTTTAATTTGAAAAAAAAAAATGGAAATTATTTTATAAAAAAAACAAGAAAAATGTCTTCTATTTGGTATGATTTTCTAATTTTCTGATTGTAGCAACTTAATTTTCACTGTCTTCTTATTTTTTTTTTTGAAATTTGTTTCCCTTTATTTAAAAATTATTTCTAAAAGAAGAACATTTTTTTAGTTGTCAGGATGATTTTCTTAGTGTGTGTAGTAACTCTTAATTTCTCAGTGTAAATTCTCCTCTCTCTCTTTGTCTTTTATTTTATAAATAATATAATTATTATTAAATAACAATATAAGTTATTATAATTTTTAAATTAGTTTGTGTATTGCTTTACTTTCTTTTAATTAATACAACATTGATATAAATTGAACTTTCGTAATTTTTGGAAAAACATTGGACCAATTTACATCTAAAACATAGTTATAAGCCTTGACTTTAAGTGTCAGTGACATCGATTGTGAATTTCAATTAAATCTCAATTCTTAAATTTTAGCTACGGTGACATGGTGCCGGAGACAATAGCTGGCAAAATAGTTGGAGGTGTTTGCTCGCTCAGCGGAGTGCTGGTCATCGCCTTACCTGTACCTGTTATTGTATCGAACTTTAGTAGAATATATCATCAGAATCAGCGTGCGGATAAGCGCAAGGCACAGCGGGTAAGTGAAAATGAATCTCCAACCCCTGCTAAAATCACATTTACGATTAATTTCTTGTGACGCCTGCAGAAAGCTCGGCTCGCGCGCATCCGTATTGCGAAGGCTTCGTCGGGAGCGGCGTTTGTCAACAAGAAAAAGGCGGCGGAGGCGCGCTGGGCAGCGCAGGAGTCGGGCATTGAGCTGGACGATAATTATAGGGATGAGGATATCTTTGAGCTGCAGCATCATCATCTGCTGCGGTGTCTCGAAAAGACAACGGTGCGTATGCTTAACAAGAAGACATACTTGCTTGCAGGACATGTATATTATTGACAGGCAACAAGTCGCGTTTTTCTTTATTTTATTTTAATTTACATACATGTTGATTTATCAGACGTCTTTGTTTTCTTCTGTTTTCTGTGTGTTCTCTTTTCGACAGATGTAGCGACATTTGAACATCTTTCGATTAGCCAAAAATTCGCACCTTTGCCTTGTGCTTGCCAGGCAAGCAATGACAAGCGACACAGCAACTAGAACAACTACAACTATACCCATAGCTGTAACTGTAACATTAACAGTAACAGTTACCGCAACAGTAACAGTAACAGTAACAGTAACAGCAACTGTAGCTGTAGCTGAGAGCGCAATAAACACAAAGAACGTCAGCAGCAACAAGAATTCAATTGATAGTTCAGAAATCTTGTGCGTGCTCGTTGATAAAAAACTTCACACACATACAACATACAACGCATATAATCATAAATATTATAAAAAGAACCTTCAGCATTTTTATTAATATTGTCGAGAGAATGGTGTGCAAAGATTAATCATTATTATTATTTATTACGTTTGTATTCTATGTATATAAATCGATATAAGTATACATATATTTATACATATGTGCAAATTGTGTTTGGTTTTGTCTTACATTTAAGTTTATGTTCCACAGTCTTTTTTGTGTCAATTTGTGTCATGTTTCTCATGATATGGTTAACATCAAGTTTACCAGCGAGCGCCCCACAAAAATAATTTCAATATAAAGTAAAGTGAAATATATATTTATGACTCCATTTTATAAATATCGAAACGAAACGTAATAAATTGACCAGAAGTAAGTGCTTTCGGTTTGTACTTAAGTTCCGTTCTTCTCTTTCACTACATCTCGTTCTCTCTATCTCTGTCTCTTGATCTCCCCAAACATTTCTTTTATTTACGCGCTGCAAATGGTTTTTACGTTTTCTGTTCGATTTTTCAAGCAGCAACAAACGATTTGTGTTGAAAGCTATGCGCTCAGTTCTGTTTTAACTTAAGATTTTTAAGTTCTTTTTATTGGTCATTATTGAAAAATATCGAAAAATAATGCTTGAAGAGGCTCCCAGCTAATGCTATAATAAAAGATCTAAAACAGCGCCACCCGCCACATGCAATCACACACTAAACTGATACAAAACACAAACTAAATAAAATCAAGGCTATAAAAAATATTGAAAACTAAACATTTTGCCTGGGGTAATGTACGCGAATGTTACATTTGTTTGCTAGTTCAATAAAATTATGTTACGGAATTTAAATGAGCAATTCCATTAAAAAATAGTATTTTTGGATTGAAATATATATAGCTTATATGGAAAAATTTAATTTTAACAAAATTACCATTCAGCAACACAAAATGGTTGAAGAACCAATAAAAAGAGAGAGAGTTGGGTGATTTAAAACTAGCAAAACAGATTAACTACTGTCCCAAATCATTAAATAACTCCAAAATCTAAAAGAAAAAAAAACAGTAAGACGATGGCGTTTTTAACAGCAAACTAAAATCGCACTCAAAGTCGCTCGCTCGTGCTTGCTTTGATAATTCCTCTTCCCTCGCCCAGCCGCATTTCGCTCGTTTTGCTTACCGCCCGCACACCAGCCGCGCTAAGGACTTGGCCCTCGCCCTGCCCTGCTCAACCACTTGGCTGACTAACAAAAGTGTTCTTATTGTGTTATTGTAAAATTGTCATTGCTTAGGTGCCGAAACCAATCCCCCTTCCTCTTCCATCCATCGACCATTTACTTTAAATGTATTTTTAAGTGTTCTAACGTTTGACAACTTTTCCCCTACCCCCGCTTTAATGTTCTGATTGTTGTTTTGACTAATCTCTATTAGTATTTATTATTACTAAATATATAATATGTATGTGTGTGTGTCTAACCTGGCTTAACATCCTACCTCCCATCTGTATATTGTTTACAAAAAAAAAGAAAAAAAAAAGAAAGTAAAAACCAAACATTGTACTCTATGTATTCTACGTTTCTCTTTGTAAAATTCTTCTGGTACTCACACACTCAAATGCTCAAATCCAAAGGATCGTGAATTTGTCGAGTTAGAAATTGCATATAATGGCCAGTCAAAGCGACCGGGCTCGCCCTCGCCGATGGCTAGTCCCGCCCACTCGACAAACAGCGCTGCGGGTCTATTGCAATCATGCTGTGGACGCTGTTGCTCCCAGCGTTATCAGGTAAGAGACAAACTGTAAATACTTAACAACTACATCCTTTTTATCTGTTTATCGTCTTGTGTTCTATTGTGCGTGTGTGCGTTTGTGAAACTGTGTGTGAGTGTGCCTGTGTCTGTGTGTGCGTACCCTAAGTGCAGGTGGGTGTTATTTTTTTAATGTTAAGTACCTAGTTGATTGTTTTACTTTTGTTTGTGTGTTTATCATGCACATATCTAACCAGCAACCGAAAGCGCACACAAAGAAACTAAAATAATAGCAATAACATATAAACAGAAAGAACATATATCAGAGGAACATCGCCATAGGCCTATGCTAAAATTTACTTACCAAAGTGTAGAAAGCATTATTCCATTTAGAATATAATATTACAATTTAATATTGTAAGATGCAAGAATTTATCGTTTGGCCAATATTTCTCATGGCAACTACATTTTTATGATTATAAATTGGTCCGATCAACCCAATACCAAATATACGACGCTCTTGATGCTGATCAAGAAAGTAAATATAGCTATTGGGATCGAAGATATACCTTTCACTGCGTTAGTTACGCAATTAAGCAAATTCGCGACAAAAATTATACAGCCAAAGAGATTTGGTAATGGAAACCCCCAAAAATGTGCTGCACTCTGCACCGACCACCATAAAATGTTTATCGTGTTGAAGTGTTGCATACTTTTAGCTGCCGCACAAAATGAACTTCGTTTTGGGAAATTTAAATCCTTTGGAGTGGATGGGAATCACATGCACACGGAAATATGTTATCTCTAACAGCCAGGATTGTTAATTAACTAAACGAAAATTGTGCTTCTATTTACGTTAATTTAAATACAATCATAAGAATCAAATCATATGTTCAATACTTAAGAAACGACTCCTTCGAATCCGAGTTGTTGCATGAATATTATTTGTATTTTCCTTTTGATAAACAGTTTAATCAGCAACAATGGTTTTTGCTTCATATTTAAATAATATAAAACAACTTATTAAATAATCTAGTTAATTATTGTAAATATTAATCAGAATTCTACACCACGTAAAGGCCATAGAAGCTAGGCCTTATTAAAAAGGTCTTATTTTATTTATTTATTTATTTAACGCCAAGGATATATATTTTTCAGGCAATGGGAACAATAAGAAATTGCATACTTTCGAGCATCTCGAAATGTTATATTATGTTTATAAAATATTATGTAGACGCACCTACGACCAGTGAACTTTGACTTAATGCTTTGGTTTTGTTTTTCTGTAATCTGCTTTGCAGGCCTGCGGAAAGTATATGCCAGCAGCCAGTAATGCTCAAAATAGCCAAAACAATCAGCCAATGGATGGCACCTACCTGGTGGAGGCATCCTTCTGAGCCAGCGTCGGAGATGATGTGGGGATAGTGCTGAAGAAGCTGATTTAAGTTTATATTTAGTCTAACTTGAAAAGTTTTTAAATTGAATTGAATTTATTGTAGACAAAGAATTCTAAACAAAACAACTGTAATCTAACAAACAAAAATCTCTAAAATCTGATTTTCGAGTTAAATGCAAAATATTTTAATTAAATTTTGCAAAAACACCAAATCGCAAACTTCTGAATGTGTAAAATGTAATAGCAATACACACAGGATCAATAGATAAGCTGCACATTAACAACAATGGGTAAATATATAGCGCATATATAGAAAGGTGGAAAATACAGAATAAAAATCCCAACACTTACGAATTGCGATGAGGCAAAGTCGGATTTGATTAGCGAGACCCCGCTAATAAACTTAAAAATTAATATTTAACACTATTTACTTTACATAGGTGACAAAACGACGACAACAACAACAACAAATAAAAAATAAATAAAAACACCAACAACAGAAACAGAAGCATTTTAGAGGAATTTACTGTGTATGTTTTTAAGCGGGCATTAATACAAAATAATAGGATTGCAAATAGATTAAAAAATTCAGAATAACAATTGTTATGTACTTACTCACTCAAGCAAGTTGCATTGGGTCCAAAAAAAAAAAGAAAAAATGAAAAATAAACGAATTAAAAAGAAGAAAAGCCACAGCCATCGTGGGCAAACGATTTGAGTAGCGGTAAGCCGAAAAGAACTATTTGAATATTTAAAAAAAAATTAAGAAAACAAATCGAATGAAACAAAAATGGAAAAGTATATTTACAAATAAACTTGATGTATTTTTTAAAAGGTCCGTAGTTTAGTGAATATAACGTTCAACTGTCTAATATTATTTTTTTTCAAGTTTGTAAGGGAAGCCAAGGGAAGACCTTTTCCAGAACTTGTATTTGGCTCTTTGGCTCAGTTCGGCTCGTCTTATGAGGACTAGTAATATATGTAAACATTTTTTTCAGCCCATTGGAATTTATCGTACATTGTATATTTTTGATATAGTCCAAAGGTTTCAGTTGTCATCATTTCAAATACTCCAATGAACAAATCAAAATATTTTAAAAAGCAACTAAACCAAACTTTCTTCCGAAAAACTAAGTTAGCAACTATTTAACTGTATATGTATATGTGTGTAGGCGAGGCTTTAAATTGAAGCATTAAAAACAGAAACTAAAACTCTTAGCAAATTCTAACAAACTCAAAGTAAATTAATTAATTATAAATTAAACCAAATCAAACATTTAAAATTAGTTCAATATACCTAAATAAAAAGAGGAATAAAAAATAATTGAGCTTGTATGTATGTATAATAAATTTATTATTATTACTATTATTATTATGGTGTTGACTATTTAAATTGTATATTGAGAATTTATTTGGAATACCTTAAGTTCTAAGTTAATTTTGTGACAAGCTGTAATACAAAAATCAATGTCTAAAGCAAGCAAAACTTAAGTCAACTTTAAATGAACTCAATGCAAAATATTAAATATATGATGATTATAGTTTGGTTAAAAAAAAGCAAAACTTAAAATGAACAAATAACAAGTTTTGGCCACTAGAGCCAATTCCTGTAGCGATATTCTAAAAGAACAACAAACAAACGAAAATCTAATCTGAAGAATTTTTCTGTTTTGATTTTTAGTGATATGTAATTCCAAAATTCGACACCTAGAAACTCTGCCATGGGTCTGTGCTCGAACAGAACAACAACAAAGAAGAACTATACAAAAATTAATAATAAAATAAATAAAGAAATCTGTTTACTTCCACAACAAAAAAATGCGCGAGTTCATATGAGAGTTTTTATTTGCCCAGAAACAACACCAACACCAACAACCTGGACAGATCGATTGAAATACATTCAAGAGTCGAAAGCTGCGAGTAACGGAAATTCCCACCATACATCATCGACTATATAAAGCTAGCAAAATATATCTACAAAAATACATACAAATACATACATATATATAAATAGACATAGACGTAGCCATAGACATATATAAAATAATACTCGTTCAACGGAGCACTGTTTGTGTGTGGAGCAAGGGAGATCGGTTGCGTGTTTCTGTTTGTGTGTGATATTGTCGGGTCGTCTGGGTCTGGGTACGTAAACTTACATATATACTTACTCACATATTGAATATCAACGTCTGTAATTTGTTTTTACCCATACCGTAGCTGGCTTACATGCGAATATGGCCAGATTCATTTGCATAGCCTGTGCTGCTTAGTCATATGCTTAGAAAGATCTGCCAATAACTTAGTCTCGGACTTAGCATAGACCTCAAATCCAGTGAGCTGTGAAGGTGACAGCAAATATATACATGTCAATGCGCAACTTAAAATTTATTTTAAAAATCTTAATAGATGCTTCTGTAACTCCATTTAATTGTAAAGTTACAATTATATTTATTTGGTTTATATATATGGCATCTTATATATTTATTTTATAGTAATAATAAACTTGATTTATTTTCAACCTTGGCACATTTCTCGCCCCAATTTGAAAGTAGTGCAACTTAATATGAGTTCGCGGTTTACTCATTCTCAGTCTTCCATGGTCACAACATCTTCCGAATCTCAGTTAATGAGATGTGCAATGTTGCAGCAGTTGGCGCAGTTGGCGCAGTTGGCGCAGTTGGCAACCTACACGTACACGTGTATTTCCCATATCGATTTCAATAAATCAGCTGCTCATTGAGTGCGTTCCGCAAAAAAGAAACAAAAACAAAAGTAAATAGAGACAGGCCAAGCCTCAAGTAAAGGTCGTTTGTTATTGTGTAAATATGTATCATCAAATTTTATTTTGAACTTAAAGATAAAACCCACAATTAATACACATTTTGTAGTCGAAACTGGCAAAAAAAAAAAATAAATAAAAATAAAGCAGTTCATAGATTTACTCACACATTTGATATGCTGGTCATAAAAACTGATTCATATGGATAGGCATTATGAGCATAAAATGGTTTATATTCAAGAGTGTTGCGTATACGCGCCGTGTTACGTTGAAGAGACACTAATATTAACTTCGGTAAGCTAGCTTTATGACGTTATTTATCACTCATACAGCTAGATAACCAAAGACAACATAGCACCCTGTATGCGGCACAAACTTGCACAATCCTATTTGCTTTCTGCTTGTTGCTCGTTTTAATATGCAGCTGAAGTCGCGATTTCCTTTGGCTCAGCAATTGCAATCGCTTTATGTTTCTTAAGTGCCTCTTTTGGCCTTCCAATTTCGCGCGCTCGAGTAATGATTTTGAAACATTCACTCGATTACTGGATATATATCTGGTGTACTTGTTTTCTCGGCTCTACAACTTGTCGAGTTCGTAGCGCCCACACGACTGCAGAGACCGTAGAAACTGTCAGAGATTGTGGACTGTCGTCATCGTCCACATCGTCATCGGCGCCCGTTTTATTTTTGCGCAGGCGTCGCCGTCGACTGACATTGCATTGGGAAATGCTACGTGGAATTTTTATGCATTTTGCATAGGCAAACACAGCTCGGAGCGGAGCAGGGGCGCATGAATAAGATAAATACAAAATGAACGAAAAAAAAGGTCAAAGTTGGTCGAGCGCGCGTTCGTCCAGAACTCTGGCCATGTTTCTATGTATGTTTTGTGTAAGAAGGGGGCTGCAATGATTTTTTTCTTATGCTACGAAAAATATTCCCATAAATATGCACGCTACGGCGATCAACAATTATGCCCACGACCAAAACCGAACGTCTCAGCAGAAGCAGAAGCAGAAGCAAAAGCGTTGTAGTATTTTCGTCTTCTTATTCTTATTGTTTCGGTTGGTCAAGTGACTGTAACTGGAACGACAACAAGACAGACAGACAGAGTGGACTGAACCGAACTGAGCTCAGCTCAGCTTGGTTGCCTGGTTGGGTTGGGTGGTTGTTTGGGCTGCTTGGCTGCATTGGCATTATAGCGCCGGCAAAATGTGAGTAAGCCAAGTGAATGGCTGACTGGCTGAGTGGCTGAGTGGCTGACTGGCCTTACCTATGTCTATGTCTGTCTACTGCTCGCTAGACGAACGTTCCGTAACCGTAGGTTCCCACAATTATGCGCCTCGCTCGACTCGATTCGAGACTACTCCACACTCGACACTCATTGTAATAATCTTTGAAACATAAAGCGGCGGAAAATGTTGAACAGCCTGAAAAACGTACGAAACGGCCTGAAAAGTCTTACTTCACTTCTATTTTTTTCTTTCTCTTTTTCTCCACTTTGGTCAAATTGTGCAATGGATATGGCGACAGTCGCATAATGCATAGGGTAAGTAGTAAGTTGGTATTTGGTAAGTAGTGCCAACTGCTCTCAGCTTAGCGTTAAGAGTGTTGCTTAAGCTACTGAATCGTCGAAAAGCCTCTGATATAAACTACTAGTCTGCAACATTCCTCTAGTTCGTAATTGGCTTTTATTATACTGTGTTCCCACAGGAAAATTAAAAGGTATATTCACTTATTGGGTTCGAGTAACTGAAACAGTAAAAGTATTAAGACTTTTTGGTATTTTTTAGATTTCCATTGATCTTTCCATGCTCAGCACATATTTTTTTTTAAATTTAATCGAGTTTCGGAAGAGAGCTTATCTAAGCTTAGAAAATAGTAAGCGAATCGACTAAATTTATGACTTATGGATTTCGATATTGATTCATACCCTTAGGCTGGAAAGTATTCGAAACTTTAACTATTTTTAAATTTGATGTGCAGTCAATTTTTCAAGTTCTCAATTATACCTCATCAATCTCAACCACATAAGAAATTAAGTTCTGACCACACTTTAATTTTCACTTTTGCTTTCGCATATAGCTGTTAACTCCATGTTGGGAGCGACCATCTTTACTGCTATTTCACATTCTGCCTTGAATTTGCTGGAAATTCAACACATTGTATCTCAACAAATAAGCCGCACCTAGTCTAGTCTATGCCTAAGTCTAAGCCGCTGTCGTGGATAATAAGCCGACAGATGACGCAAATCTTTACACTGAGTGCTCTCATGCAGCCAAATATATTTGAAGAACTTATAAGAATGCGCCACTCTAGATGCACGCTATGTACATAAATAACGTCAGACTGCAGTATATATACTTCTGATAGATATATGCAAATGCGTTGACGCTGCCGATTCCCGATTCCCGATCTACGATTGCCGATCTACGATTTCCGATCTACGATTGCCGATTGACGATTAAGCGACGCTGATTCGATTTCTATTGGGCCAAAACACGTTTAAGTCGGCGACACGAGCACAGAAATTGCCTATGCATAAGTGATGAGGTCGATGCTGACGATGGCGACAGATTTGAAAATTCTGGAAACGTGTGCGGATCGCTTCATAGCCGGATGTGCCCGTTGTACAATGTGTATATATAAGTATGTGTGTGTAGGAATTTCGAGTTGCATATACATATTTAACAGCTGTGAATGCAAATGACTGACATACCTGAAGAACCATTGGGGCGCCACAGCCAGTTAATTATGACAGCTGTTGTTTGCTCTGGAAACGATTCGTTAGAGTTGCTCGATCTTTTATACTCATGTACACGAGTATATATGTAGATATATTGAGTGTTGACACACGTTTTGGTAACTGCACTTGAACTGCGAAACACTTGCGAAACCAACGAAATCTCAATCGTTTATTTTTATTGAAAGTATCAAATGTTGTTGACACATACATCAGGCAACAGAGACCCTAAGTGAGTAACGTTAATGGTTCTGCTTCTGGTTCAGATTCT